AACGTTAAGTGGGACAACATTAAATGAGGAGTTACTGTAAAATATACTGACAAGTTTCTTTCTTAAATCTAGATGTTAGTATGGGCCCAGATTTTCAGACCTGTGCGCACACAAAATTCCACAAAATATGGGCCATGGTGCAAAGAACACAGAGCAGAACTAGAAGAAGCTTGATTTTGGCTTTTGATTCAATTTCAAAATACTTTTAATAAGTTCACCTGAATTAATAAGTCACATCCCAATACATGAAGTAGATAATGGGCTCACTAAACCAAAGACATAGGGTAGTACATTTGAAGCAAAATTATCACATTGAGTAATATAAATATTTTGTATAGTAACTAGCGGAAAAATAATATCCACTATTCATTCTTGATTTCTGATATTCCAGGACTGGGACTCAAACAGCTGTTCATAATGTGTTGGGAAAACACAGATTTTCTGAACCATTAATATAGAATGCCACATAGTGGTTAGACATGACAAGGTTATTTATGATGGTGTTGTAGCTATGTCAGTCCCAGGATATATGAGAGTGAGAGAGAGAGAAAGTGGGTGAGATAATATCTTTTATTGGATCAACTTGTGTTGGTGAAAGGGACAAGCTTTTGAGATTCTCTGTGAAGCTCAAAAACTCATCTCTTTCAGCAACAGAAGCTAGTCGAATAAAAGTTATTACCTCACCCACCTTGTCTCTGTCAAAGTTATGTACAGTTCTGCACAGCTTTATGGATTCCGGGTAAAAGAAAACACCACACTAATTTCTATAAATTTCTCTGCACCAGTTTAAGAGTTTCAAGTTTCCTCTCCTCAGCTGGTAGGTTGAGAGAGAATAAGAGAGGTTCTTTTACTAATGATCTGACCCTTTTGGGGATTTAAATTGGGACAGTGTTGATTTGAAGTCTAATGATTATTTTTGTTTTGTTGTTTATAATAATCATCTTCCCTACCTCTTGGCTTAATTCCACATGCAGCAAATGTCTCCAGGATGAAAGCTATCTTGAGAACAAACAGGCTAACTGTGAAGAGACTCATTTTGTGGTAACTATTCTTCCAGCAAACAGGTAGGAAGCAGAACTCTCCAGAGACTAATGAATTATTATTTTCAGATTTGCTTGAAGGAAAGGGCAGGGGACAGAGGTTTACTAGACAACTACACAAGCCCTTCCCTTCCCCTTCCTCCCCCTCCCCCCGCCAGATGTGCGAAAGCAGGTTCCACAGAGCTTCTTACCACTGTGAAAATGGAAGAGAAGCCCCAGTCCAATGGTGCACTGTACTATCACTGGACCATCAGCCCAACCTACATGTAGACTATTGCTAGTGTAAATCCTTTGTACACTGATCTTAATTTGCATGTTTTTTCCCCGGCATTTTTTTTTTTAAACAATCACCCACAACTTTAGATGGAAACATTTTTAAATTAATATGTACTTTATGGAACACTGCAGACAATCAAAAACAGAAACAAAAGACATACGCCTCAGATAAGACTGACATCCTAAGATTCCCGAACACTTTGAATATGTTAACTTTGACTACCTATTCCTTGAACAAAACAGAGGTTTCATCAACCAGCCACTTCACAAGAAATTTCCATCAGTGTATGATTATAGGCCTGAAAAAAAAAAAATTCGGAAAGGTCCACTGATGTATAAGAATCCCTGAACTCCTTTTCCCTCTGGGAATAGAAACAAAGCATCTTGACAGAATAAGGCTAGGCAAGCACTTTGTTATTAACTATTCCTATACCTCAGGGGTAGGCAACCTATAGCACACATGCCAAAGGCGGCACGCGAGCTGATTTTCAGTGGCACTCACACTGCCCGGGGCCTGGTCACCAGTCCATGGACTCTGCATTTTAATTTAATTTTAAATGAAGCTTCTTAAACATTTAAAAAACCTTATTTACTTTACATACAACAATAGTTTAGTTATATATTATAGACTTCTAGAAAGAGACCTTCTAAAAACGTTAAAATGTCTTACTGGCACGCAAAACCTTAAATTACAGTGAATAAATGAAGACTCGGCACACCACTTCTGAAAGGTTGCCAACCCCTGCTATACCTCATTCTAGTTAGTTTTTTCTGAACCTGCAGATATCAAAATTAATAGCCAAAACCAGTTTACAAAGCTCACTATGAAGATGCATTACAGTTCTGAGTTCTTACCTCCTCACAGCCTATCAGCTTCCAGGACTCTTCAGACCCTTGAAGTGCTTATATTTAATTAGTAGTGTCTTCTCTGACAGCCCTCAGAACAGTGGAGATTCCCAATAGAAGGGAAAAGGTAGTAGCTGCACCGCAGATAAGCTCCCCTTTAAAAAAATACATTTAAAAATATCGTTTTTAACAGAAAAATAATGAATACAAACAAATTTTTAATACATTAATTTGATTCTCAATCGACTCACTCCCATAGCTGCCTTCCCTTTTCATCCCTTGCTCCTTCCCCAATGGCTGAGCAGTGGGGAGCGAAGGAAGTCAGCTCCTTCCACTAATTAGTAGACTATCATAATTCATGGATATGACATCACACCCCATTAAGAAAGATTTTATTCTTGAATAGGTGTTCAAAGGCTATTACAAATACACCTCTACCTCGATAGAACGCTGTCCTCGGGAGCCAAAAAATCTTACCGTGTTATAGGTGAAACCGCGTTATATTGAACTTGCTTTGATCCACCGGAGTGCGCAGCACCGCCCTCCCAGAGCACTGCTTTACTGCGTTATATCCGAATTCATGTTATATCAGGTCGCGTTATATCAAGGTAGCGGTGTAGCTTAAAACACACCATCAAAGATACAAAGCATAGGTGCCATTTCATTCAAGATATGGGAGCCAAAACCATTCCTTTTATAGCTTCCCCTATCCCACAAGAGAAAGAGTGGTCTAGGAGACTGAGGACAAGCACTGGAAACCAAGAACTAGCAAACTGTAATCCTTGCTGTACACCAAATCATTTAACCTCTGTATACCTGTTTTACCAAATTTGGATAATGCTTCCTTTTCTCCCTCCCTTACCTGTTAAGGATTCATGTTTGTCCAGCACTTTGATGACAGAGAATGCTATGCAAGTGCCAAGTATTATTCTTGGTATTAGTCATACATGACCTACCCTCAACATTAATTAATATACTCCTATCTACAAAACAAGATCAAAATATTTTATCCACCTCACAAACAAGCAATTCCCGATTCAGAAACCACCTTGAGTCAGAAAGAAACTCACCAGTGTTCTTAAAGGACTACTTCCTTTTCACTTCTGTAAGATGTCTAAAACCAACACCCAAATAGGAAGGATAAAAAGTGTGCATATATA